ACCGCCAGCGTGCAAGACCTGTGCGCACTGGAGACGGAACCAGGGTGCAGACATGGGTGCAGGGAAGCCTCCTGGCAGACGAGCCCCGCTGGGAAAGGTGCAGAAGGCGGCTCCGCAGGGAACCCCCTCCTCCCTCCTGACGAGGATCACGGGCTCACTGAGCTGGACGACACCGCAGGGAGCAGCACACACCTGGCACCGTCTTCCTCCAGCGCGGCTGCGACCCGGAGCTACACCGTCTCTTTCCCCGAATTTTTTGAGTATCTGTTCGGGGAGGATGAAGGTGGAGTCGGCGTTTCGGACTCGGAGGACGCAGTCGTGTCCTTTGCCGACGAGGATGCGAGCAGCCTGTCGGTTCCCGAGATGTACGACTACTTCTTTTCCGAGTTCGAGACAGAGGGTCTTTTCCTCCCCGCGGTCTGGCGCTCGAGAGAAAACGTCGCCTGCTCACGCCCTCCCGACGAGGACCTCCTGCTGCCGGAGACGTCCGATTGCCTGTTCCCCGAGGACGAGCCGCGGGCGGTGGGGGATGAAGAAAGCTGCGGACCTGTCCGTGTGGTGACTCGTTTAAAGGACAGCGCGGCCGGTCCCCTCGCTGTGTCGGGACCGGATGCTTATGAGCATTTTTTCGCTGGCAGCGAGTGGGAGAGAAATTCGCCGTGGCGAAATTTCACGTCTCTCAGAAGGAGGTGTTTCACGAGAGGCAGTGAAAACGCCAGGGGAGATTCCAGCTCCTCGTTGCTGCCGAAGAAGTACGGGAAGGTCTTCCAGAGGGAAGTCCCCCGAGGGTACACAGAGAGGAGAAGCGGCAACAGTCCTTCGGTAATCCATTTCCTTAAGGACCAGATCCTGAGACACCTGGAGGAGCAGAGGAGCAGATCCACTGATCCCAGCTCGGCAGTCGCTGTACCAAGTAAGCTGTTGTGCTGGAATTACTATGACACGCGGAGGATGTCCGTGCACGAGAGGACAGTCCCTGCAGTGCACAGCCATCCCGGTCCTTTGCGTGCAGAAAAGCACTGAGAAATAGTGGCAGAGGCACAGACAGCTTTGGGAACTCTGTTGTGAGCAGCAGGAATGGCTGTGTGGTGTATAAGCACGCTGGGAAAGCTGCACAGCAATCGTGAAAATTTACTGTGCATCTTGAGCCCTTCAACTGCTGAATTAAACTGAGAGCCGATCAGTAAAACTAACTAGGGCCTGACTACAAGAACTAGTTAAACTTCTTGTAAACTAGAGACCAAAGCCTTTACTGAGTCAATCCTGGCTGGAGTTGCAAGCACATGCCATGCAGCACTGGAGTGGGCTGGAATTACTTTAAAAAGAAGATCACTCGTATTCTTAAAAAACTGTTGTTAATGACAGTAAAGCCTTCCTGCTAAAGGTGTACTGTGCAACAGTTTTGTCCTGCGTAATAATTCAGATCTTTGTTTAAACTGACTTTTTCTGCCTTAAAGGGAACGAGGGATTTCTCCTGTCCCTCAGCCAGTCAGACATGTGCCTGGTGTGCATCGCCTTTGCTTCCTGGGTGCTGAAGTCAGCTAATCCACACGCAGCAGACGGATGGAAATCAGGTATTGGGCACCTCAGAACCTACCCTGGAAAAATTCCATTTCCAGGACTCCCACAAACACTGCGTATTGTCCTGATTGGTGCACAGTGTAAAAGCTGAGACTTGGACAATTGGCAAGAACTGGAGAGATGATTGAGAAACTGTACAATACATAATGAAACAACTTTATCATACAGTGTTTTAACGCTTAAAACTGCTCATTCATCATGAAACTCCTGCACTATGTAATTTGTTTTTTTGCTAAATGTTTTTGGCATAACCAACATGCCAGTGCAGGTCTCAGATCTTCCGTGACGCACTGGTGCACACACTCATGCAAATCGTTTCTTTCTAAATCCCATTCAGCTTTACTGGCAAACATCAGCGCCATCTCGGCTATTCGATACTTGAGAAGATCCGTCAAGGAGGAGAAGCCTGCTGGTCTGCAGTGAGGAGAAACTCTCCATGGAAAAGCAGTGGGAAGCAGGGAGAAGGGAAGCTTGCAGGATATTTCAGACAGTGCTCTTGGTTTAGCAGGTATTCATACCATAAAGACCAGCAGTATATAAGCATTGTTTTAATGTACTATAAATACTGTATACACTATATGGATTTGGAGATGTATTTTTTCTTACCCTGTATCTAAAATGATAACCTCAGCAGAGTTTCCTCAATAGGAGGAATGAGTGTTGTAATAAAATCTTAAGAGGTTGTATCGCTGACAGACAGGGAAAATTCAGATTCTTTCCACTTAATAAATTAGAGCATGATCTTCTTTCTGATACAGGATACCAGCACGTATGTCTGCAGCTGTGTAGGTGTACAGGTAGCGGTAAGGTGGGAATCGTGTGGATTATGTGGAGGTTTTGGAGACGCTAGAGGAGTCCGGGGCTGGTCCTGCAGGGCCTGCTTGTCTGTCTTGATAAAGCAGCAGCACACAGAGAGCTGGGAATTCCCTGCAGATCAGCCAGTAACATGGCGGTTTAGCTCACTGAGTGCTGAGGTGGACAGAGAGCTTCCAGGACCGCAATTAGACCAATGTGAGAAATTGGATGAGTGGGGGTGTTCTAGCTGTTTAGTACCAGGATGGGAGACCTCCTGGGAAAAACTTAGGCTGTTGCTGTAAGATGTATTTGGGGGGCCAGTAGGGGGCACTTACCCTGCAGCCTGTGTGGGTTCTAATGCCCCAGTATAGTGACGGGGACACTATACTGTAAACAGGCACCGTCCTTCGGATGAGACGTAAAACCGAGGTCCTGACTCTCTGTGGTCATTAAAAATCCCAGGGTGTCTCTCGTGAAGAGAAGGGGTGTAACCCTGGTGTCCAAATGGCCAAATTTCCACTTGGCCCTTACCAATCATGGCCTCCTAATAATCCCCATCTCTGAACTGGCTTCATCACTCTGCTCTCCTCCGCACTGAGAGCTGGTGTGTGGGGAGCGTTCTGGAGCATCATGCAGGAGGGGCTGCACACTGGTGGTAAAGCCCTTTAAGTGGAGTGTCCAGAAAAGCGCTATATAAGTGTAAGCAATAATTATTATTAGCTGTGTCATGAGAGATGGTGTTCATGCTGTGTATTGTCTTGTCCCAGCCTCCTTTGTGGAATTGAAGAATGTGGGTTGAATATACCTGACGTCTGAGGTGATTCAAGAGAAAAACTGAACTTTAAGGGTCCAATTTTTAAAACAAAGTGCACTGATCTATTGATATTTAATTAAATTAAAATCAATGTATTAAACGGAAAGGATTGGGATTACAGTATTTTATTTTTTTGTTTTAACTCTAGGAGTGAAGCACTTGGGATGCACTGTTTGATTATATGAAGACAAAAACATAAAACCAGATCATCTGTTTTTTTTTTTCTGTAGACTGGGTTTGCAGGATTGAATAGGATACAAATATTTGCCACCTGAGTGAAATAGAAAAGAGCTCACCAGACCTTGATTACAGCTGAAGGGTTTGTTTTTTATCACTGCTGTGAGTGACTGGGTCACAGAACTGTTTTAAAATACCCACTGTTCTAACTTTGACTCATTGTCATCTGGTTTGTCTATGCCTGCCTAGAAATGTACCACTTCACTCTTTTCAGCGTGCTTATTCTGCGCAATAAAACATTCAAGCTCTTTTCTCCAGGGCTCTCCTTACAGATCTGACTTCATTGCGTCTGGAATGATAGTTTTCTGTGTCAGACTGCACTGCTTGTACAACTTTCAGACTCCTCCGTCTGGCCGTCTGCGTGTGCACGCGTGCGGCTTTAATCTTTTCAAAATTGACGACTATGGTAATAAAACACGGTATTTTATCTAAAGAAAGTAAAAGAAACGCACACAATGAGAGTGGACAGCAGAACGGCACAGTTACAATAAGGGTTTGGAATACAGCAGGAAAGACTTAAGCGACGTTTACCCCATTACATATTTTACTTAGTTGTAAAATTTGCACTTACACCCGTGTATGAGAAATTAAACCCTCTGCCTATTCCGATGAGAGGTATTAGTAAGCGCTCCAGACGTCACGGATACAATATTACACTCGGTGGGAACGACGCACTAAATCAAGGCTGAAAGTCTGTATGGGGCTGCCGAGGCGATACCGAAGAGACACCAGCAGGTGGCGGCGTTGTACCGGGGAAAGACGTTGCAAAACGCTGGATTCAGAGGCATCTAAAATATCAACGAGCGCTTTCCTTTGAAACACCCGTAGTAATGGAATGAATTAATTCTAGACATTATACTGGAATTACCACGCTGGTTTATATATATAAACTGAAGTCCAGTTGTGAACCGTGCACAACTGCAGAAAACTGCAAGAGGTTACTCTCTCGCTGCGGGACAACGTGTTCGCTGTTGTCCTCAGTGATGCGCAGAGATCTGCGGGCGGCGCTCGTGCTCCCTCGAGTCCAGACCTGGGCCGCGTGGGCAGCCGCAGGGGCCGTGACCTTTCACGTGTCGTCCGCACGAGGGCGCTCTCGCGGCCGTCCAGCGGGTGCGAGGCAGGCACCGGGCCACGCGCACAGCGGAGCCGTATTATTGAAAAAAACGGAGTGAAATATAATACGTCTGAGAAGAATATAGTGCTGAATATAAATTAGATGGGCAACAGACTACGGAACAGCTTCTACCTCCAGGCAATAAGACTGCTAAATAGCCAACCTGCAGCTCCTTCAGCAAATCACCTGAGCATCACCAATCACCAAAGCATCCAGGTGGGGCTGCACA